CGACGTCGCTGTTGCATTGACGATGCATTGGCCATGCATCGGCGATGCGGCGCACTCCTCCGACCCCACCTGCTCCGGCCCCACCGTGGAGGCCTCTAGGCAACGGGGACCAAGGGCCGGCACGAAGACGACTCTCCACCCCCTCCCCCTCCCCCTCCCCGTCTCTTTCCTTCTCCTTCCCTCTCCCCTCCCCCTCCTTCTCCTTCCCTCTTCATTCCCCCTCCCCTCCCTCCCCCTCCTCTTGCCCCCCTCTCTGTTCTGAGGGCGACTCTTCGTTCCCTGCCCCACAGGTGCACCGTCCCAGGGACCACTAGCCATTCAATTACATTCCATTCCATTCGATTCCTTTCCATTCCTACCCGATGGGCTGGGCTTCCTATGATAAATGGAGGAGAGGGCTCCAGACCCGCGGTCGCCAGGCCCAGAGTGTGCGCCGGGTTGACCTGGGTATCCCGCCTCGTGTCTTCGACGAAGAACGACTACGTGCCGCGGCCGCCAGGCATAAAGTGTGTCGTTGTTCGTTGGGGACCCTCGCGTTCTCGGGTTGAGATCGTTCGGAGCAACCTAATTTCTTGTTCCCTTTGACGAGCTGGCAGTTTCGGGACGGCACCTCCGCCGTGGCTGCCAGGCACCAGCGCTGGCGATTCACAAGTGGCACCCTTTGCTGGAGGAGTCAGGTTTTCGTCGGTGTACCCACGGGCTTCGCCCCCTCTGTGACGAGAGAAGCGCATGTCAGCAGCGGTCGCCGTCGGTTTCGGACAGTATTTCTTTTTGTTGAGTTTACCTTTTCTTCGAGGCAGGGCCAGTCAAGACAAACGGCGGCCCCCCCCCTGGCGTTCGCGTCATTTTTGGGTTGGTTTCTCGCCGCCACGGCTAGAACCGCCTCGAAGAGCGGGTCGGGATGGACCCGGGGAGGGGTCCAGGGATCGATTTGAGCGGATTTGTTCTGGTTGGGAAAGCCGCCGTTGTTTCAATTGGCTTTCCTTCGCTTTCTCTGTTCCCCATCTCAGGCGTCCAAGCTGCTGGGCACTGGCGGCGACTCGACCAAGTCCTCGAAGCGGCGCGTCAAGTCTCAGTTCTTACCTCCTCGCCCGAGCGTCGGGGCGATACCATCAAGCATCGCTAAGGAGGATGACTTCCATGACCTCCTCCAGAGGCTCTCGAATGCCCACGACAGGGAGCTCAACAATGCGGTGGCCCGGCTGGAGTCGAAGAATGCCGAGCTCGAGCGGCAGAACAAGATGCTGCGAAGCCAAAATGTTGAGCAGCGCACGAGGCTGAGCCACGTCGTCCCGCTGCAGCCACCGCAGGCGAGGAAGAAGAATCTGTCCCCTAGGGCGAGTTTCTCAACGTTGACGAACGAGCTCACAGGAGATGCTAGCCAGCTGCCGTCACCGCGTGCGAATGTGACGCCTGTAAGCACTACAGGAAAGATGCCGGAGCTGACAGGAGAAATAGTCTTACCGTCGTCGAAGGAGTGGAGAAATATTCCCAATGACGATGAAGGAGTGGATAAAGGAGAGCCGGACGCTTTGCCTGGGCGACCCTGCGAGCTTGATGTCTCAGACTTGCGTTTAGCGGCTCGACCTGACAACTTCCTCAGTGTTGCAGAAACTGGTGAGGCGCCTTCTCGTGTCAAAGACCCAATGGCGGACTCGATGAAAGTGATGCACACCACTAGCATCGCTGTTTCGTCTACGGATGAGGGAGTTCTTTTTCCGCCGCGGATGGAGTACACGCAGGACATCCCTGGCGTCTCAAACCGTTCACGGACCCTCTTGTTCAATGATTCCTTCGTGGATGAACCGGACGAACCAGCCTGTTCGAGTTGGCAGATGTCGAGGCGGACTGCGCAGCGCCGTCTTCACGACAATTGTTTATCGAAGTACATCGCGTCACCCCGCAGCAGGCCACGGACTGCATGGCTGATTTTTGGTGCTATTCTCATCGTCTGGGACTTGTTCGTTGTCCCCCTGGTAGTGTTCTGCTATCCAGTGAACGGCTTCACGATTACGATGGAGTGGATCACGCTGGTCTTCTGGACCCTGAATGTGCCGCAGACTCTCACCGTGGGGTACGAATCGGGGCTGCGGACCGTGATGTCTCCTTCAGCCATTGCGTGTGCGTATTTGAAGAGCTGGTTTCTGATCGACATGGTAGTGCTAGTGCCAGACTGGCTCATTGTAGTGATCAGTTTCGGAAGCAGCCAGGAGCGCACAACTTCCTGCGACGCCGCCGTCGAGGGCGCTGGGGCCGTCAGGCTGCTCCGGAACTTACGCATCATGCGCCTCCTGCGGCTTACCCGGATTGCGCGACTGCAGAAGATGTGGGAGTTGGTGATGGAGAGGGTCTACTCTTTTACAGTCAACATCGTGGCGAATGTATTGTCGATGCTCCTGCTCTTGCTCGTCCTAAGCCACTTCATCAGCTGCATCTGGTACGCGATCAGCTTCAATCTGGAAGGCTGCGCCACCTTTCGTCAGCACCACAGACGAATTCAGCCTTGACATGCTGTGACCACCTGGGAGTGTCCTTGGGACTGCGCTGGGCGATCTGGGAGCCTCTTGGGAGAATGTCCGGGCCACCCGAGGCGCATTTCGAGGGCAATCTGCGGGAATGGGGGGCCATCGCGGGGACTAATGGAGGCGCCATGTCGCTGGCTTAAAGCCTTTTGGGGGCAACTTGGGTGTTGTTGCTGGCGTCCTGTGACCTCTGTAGGCCACCTTGAGGTTCTCTTGGATGATCTCGGAGCCACCTTGGGTTTATATCTGGGCCATCTTGCAGTCCGCCTTGGGCATTTTGGGAGGAGAGCAACTGACGAGCCACAGTCGAACCGAAATAGCAAATTATGCCGTTTTCGGCTCCGCGGCTTCAGGCCCCCTCTTGGGCCCCCTGCGAATCCACCGCTCAAGCGAAGTGGCCACGCGCGCGCTGCGCGCGCGAGGAGCTCCGAGAGCGCGGCAAGCGGACGACCGTGGTCCGCGGCGGCCGCTGCGAGCGGCCGCGGCGAGTGCCCTCTCGGTGTGCAACCTGAATGATTTCAACTGGTGCATTCCCGGTTCTGTCTGGCGCAACCGAAATTGGTGCAGTCGATGCGATGCAACTTGCGGTGGTGGAGTCCGTGGTGGGCCCAGGATACGGCAGGGCCGTTTGTTTCAGCAGTTTTCAGGTAACGGTTCTGGAACCTGAAGGCGGTAAGAAATGGTTCCAGGATTGGAACTGGAACCAGGACCTGGGAAAACATTGCGGCGGAACCCCTACCAAAACGAGCGCCCGAACCGGCACACAGAGGCAACACGGAGCTGGTAACAACAACGGCCTTGTCGTGTCCGGGGCCCGTTAAGGTGGAATTTGTATGTTGTACCATCTGTGGTGCAGTCTGCATGGCGCAGTCTGCGTGGTGCACCATAGGACATCGCGGGCGCCAACCATGGGACAACACGTGTGCCCGCGGCGGTAGCGAGGCGAGAGCCCTTGCACCCACACGTAGGGCACCACAGGGTACCACGCCGCCCGCGGCCCATCTTCCTCCCCTTGGGCTCCAGGGGGCAGCTGCGGCGACGAGCCGAGAGCCTCGCAGCAATCTAACGTGCACTAAGGGAGCCCACGGCGGCGGCGCGGCGCGACGAGCCGTCAACCCAACACCACTCCAGATCAAGAAACTGCAAGTGCTGATGAGGGAGTCCTGTAAACCTGTACTTGTGTCCACTCTTTGTCGTTTTCTGGGGTGTCTTAGGGCCCTCTTGGCAAATTCTTGGGGCTTGAGGCCGTCTTGGGCAGTCCTGGGCTCTTGAAGGTCTCACGGGTCCTTCCTGGGGCTCTTTCGGAGGCTTATTGGGCCGTCTTGAGCGTCTGACGGCGTCCTTATTGCATTACTGGCCCTTCCAAGTGGACATTGGACAGGAGAAAGGGCGACATAGAAATCACAAGACAGCTCGCCGTTTGAGCCCCATTTCCAGCCCAAACGGCGAGCGTAAATCAGGCGTAGCCCTGCACGCATTCCAATGCCCACTCTTCGTCCTCGTACTACTCGTATTCCTCCCCGTCTTCCTCCCCATCCTGATCGTCGTCGTCGTCTCCTCCTCGTCCTCCTCTTCCTCCTCGTCTTCCTCCTGCTCCGTAGTCCTCGTGAAAGACCTCGTCCTCGTTTCTCCTCTTCCTCCTCCTGCTCATCCTCCTTCTCCTGGCACCTAGGTTGCGCTATAGGTTACGCCATAGGTTTCGCCTTCGGCGGCCGAGAATGAGACCGTCTCCTATAGGTTACGCCATAGATTGCACCCTCGGCGGCCGAGAAGAAAATCGTCTCCTATCGGTTGCGCCATAGGCTGCGCCCTCGGCGACCGAGAATGGAACCGTCTCCTATCGGTTGCGCCATAGGTTGCGCCCTCGGCGGCCGAGAATGGAACCGTCTCCTATCGGTTGCGCCATAGGCTGCGCCCTCGGCGGCCGAGAATGAAACCGTCTCCTATCGGTTACGGCATAGGCTGCGCCCTCGGCGGCCGAGAGTAAAAACGTCTCCTATCGGTTGCGCCATAGGTCGCGCCCTCGGCGGCCGAGAATATAACTGTCTCCTATCGTGTGCGCCACAGGTTGCGCCCTCGGCGGCCGAGGGTAAAACTGTCTCCTATCGGTTGCGCCATAGGCTGCGCCCTCGGCAAATAAGTCCGTCTCTTATCGGTTGCGCCGTAGATTGCGCCCTCGGCGGCCGAGAGTAAATCCGTCTCCTATCGGTTGCGCCATAGGTTGCGCCCTTGGCGGCCACGATTAGAACCGTCGCGTATCGGGTGCGACCAGTCAGTTCAGTTCGGTCAGTTTACCTAGCGAAAAACAAATTTGAGCTCCGCCCGAAAACAGGCAGGAAACAAGAGACAGGACGAGAAACACAAAGACGGCACTGAAAATAAGCAGCACAGCAGCTCAGCTGGCATGCTCACAGCCTGTTGCCCCCAAGGGTGCTAGCTGATGCGAAGGGCGAGAACCGGTGGATCGTCTACTACGAGATGGAGGGGTTGTCGTGGGGGTATTTGTACGCGACTTGCTTGCACTGGTCGTTGACGCAGTTCACTCCAGCGCCCATGAACATTCAACCGCAGAATCTCACAGAACGCGCCTTCACTATCTTGGTTGTGGTATGCGCTCTGGTGGGCTTCTCCTACGTGGTCGGCAGGATCACGGGGAGCCTCGCACAGTACCGGGCTCTCAAGGAGGAGGAGACCAAGCTGTTCTGGGACCTCAGGGTCTACATGAAGCAGAACCACGTAGCCCACCTCCTCGCTGTTCGCATACAACGCTACCTCCAGAAGAAGTGGCGCCGTCAGGCTCACAACAAGACGTACCAACAGATCAAGATTTTGACCATGTTGTCAGAGCAGCTCGAGAATGAACTGCTGTTTGAGCTGCATGCGAGTCATCTGACGGTTCATCCCCTTGTCCAGAAATTGCTTGAGGTGTCGAGGGTGACTGCTCTGAGAGTGGCGAGAGCGGCCGTTTCCACCAAGCAGCTCGCAAACAGCGACCCCCTCTTCATATACGGTGAGAAGCCAAGCCACATGTACATTGTTATTCAGGGGCAATTTCGATACACACGGATTTCTCCTCAAGGCGAAACGGGGTCCGAGAGGGTCGACAAGGGCGAGGACTGGATAGCGGAGCCTGTAATGTGGTCGACGGAGTGGTACCACTTGGGCGACTGCACGGCGGTTGAAGAGAGCATGCTCATTCTAGTGAGCGCCCACGACTTCTGTAAGGAAGCGCTGCGGAACCCGGCAGCCTGGATACTGGTCACGACCTACTGCAAAAAGTATTTGGACTGGTTGAACACCGCCGACCCAGCAGAGCTCTCCGACATCACCCAGGGCGAGGACAAAAACACTGCCATGCGGATAAAGAAGTTCATGATCCCGGAAGCGGCATCCTCTTTTACTATCCTGGGCAAGACCCACGGCACGCGTGGGCGAAGAAACACATCCGTATCCGTGGCCTCGCGGGCCGGGCACCTCGGCCACGACCCCGCGCATAGGGAGCGTTTGTTTGCGGATGGCCTGCGCGGATCGTGCCCGTGCGACCGCACATCCGCGGGATCGCGCCCCAGAACCCAGACAGCGAGGTCGTGGATGTGGATAGGTTCGCCGCTCGTGAGGTACGGACGCCCACAAGACAACCGATACCTGACAGCGCCAATCCTGCGTGCCAGTGCATTTGCATGCGGGCTGATGCTCGTGCTGTGGAGGCTTGAGATATCATGGTCCACGGTAGAGGTAGCGTGCACGGCACGGTGTGAGCAGGCCAGGAGGATGGGGAGGGATAAAGCAGGTGAAGTCAGCGAACCATCAGTCTTCTCCCAATGGCGTGGTCGACACTTTGGCTTAGCTGGGAGAGCAAAAAGGTGCACCAACACAATCTCCCGCAGTCTGCGCGGATTTCTTGGATCGGCACTGGGCCCTCTTGGCGGCGCCTCCTGCGCCGCCCCTGGCGCGCGTCGTGCCAGGGAGGGGGATGCAGCGCCGATCCAAGGAATTTGCGCGGCCCTCAGAAGAGAGTAGGTTTATGCCTTTTTGTGTTCCTCTGCAGCAATGACGTGGTCGACACTGGTGATTCTGTCGCTTGTCGCCGCCGTCAAATGTGCTTAGTCTGTGCGCAGGTGTGTCAATCAATGCGCCCTTAGGCGCAAGATCTCCTGAAGCATAGCTTCATGCGTGCTTAGGGTTTTTGCGTCTCCTCCTCGCACTACCCCGACCGCCCTTCATCATGTTCTCTCTCGCGCGGGGGTCTCAACTTCTTGTCCCACACATACTAAGTGGAGTCCTTGCTATCCTCTGGCTCAACGACGCAGCTGTAAACAATTGCGGCCCACACCTTGGCTCACAGACACCCTCCCTTCATCTTCATCTTCACCTTCATCTTCGCTCTCGGCCGCACCTTCGTTCCAGGCTGACACCCACCGCCAGCGTCACGCGCTACACTCGCCCTTCACCCTCGCTCTCACACTCATCCTTCACCGTTAACCCTCACCTCCCTCACGAGGGTTTCGCATCGAGGGACACCCCCCCTGGAGTCGCAGCTACGAAGGAGAGGTGGAGAGCAGGCGTGGGCCCTGCTCCTGCAGATGGCCTGGTGGGCCTATAGGCCATCCAGCCGCCAGTCAGGCGGCTGCTGGCCCAGGAGGAGTTTATAGGCAGCTCATCGGTACGCTCATGCTGGGGCCGGCTGGGAGGGTCGATTGCCACAACGTTTGTGGAGGACGACCAATGGAGAGGAAGCATGTTGCCAAATAATTCCCCGATGTCAAAAATATGTTTCACATAGGCTTTAAATTTGCTGAACACATGTTTGAAACATGCTTAGAACATGTCTTACAAATGTTAAACACAGCTTTAGTTCAATGATGGGATTGTTAAAGTGCCCATTGTCATGGCATCCGCAACACAACGTTGGTCACGGAGAAATGCAGAGGTTGTAGGAGACGCCCGAAAACCGCTCGGAGGAAGGTGCCATCTTCTTAGGTCTCATCGGCAGGCGCTTGCAGCAACACCACAGGGTAGGTGCCAAGCCAGGCCGCGAGCACCTGATGGCCGTTGTCAAGTTTGCGATCGCTGGAGGCGGCGAGGCCGCGCAGTGCATCGTAAAGGCCCCGTGAGGAGGATGCGGTCCCACTTGCAGAGGCAGATCGCTAGCCATCCGCAAGCAAGCTTGCGCTGGAATTGTTGCTGGCTCAGCGTTTGCCCATTTGGATCAAGGATGCCCCAGGCATTGATTCGGGTGCGCACGTGGCAGGCCAAGTTGACGTTACGGCCCATGGAACGCGCCTGTGTGGCGGGTTGGCCAAGCGTTTCAAGTGCGACGCGGCCCTTGGCTGAGGCAGGTTGCGCCCCCAAGTTGGCGCTCCATGCTGGACTTAGTGTCCTGGCCCAAACCGTCACCACATTGAATGCGTAGGAGCATGAGACCACCTCTGAGTTCCGATGGCCGACTCAAAAAGAACGCGTTCGTCGAAAAGCAGCCCACCTGCGTCGCGCCCAGTCGATTTGCTGTCGTTGCTGGGGCGGGACTGCGGATTACAAGCGCTCCGGGCGCTCAGTCGGCGAGAGACATTTTCAGGGGCCAGAAGACTGTCACGGGCAGTGATCGTTCGGCCCAGATACGCCACGCACTGGCGGGGCACAGAGGGCGCATCACCATGCCACATGCGTCTTTCGACTCGGGCCCGCAAGAGGCTTTCGAGAGTCGGGGGCAACAGGATTCCACGACAGCCTCAGCATCTTCATTCCCAGGAAAGAACAACATGCTTGGGTTCTGGACGCTGGTAAGCTTTTCCAAGCAGCTTCGCGCATGCTCAGCTCGGAACTGATCAAAGTGGCGATAGAGGCACACGTAGATAGATACTGGATTCATCCATGTCGGAACTTCCTTCGCACCACCGTGGCGGGCGATGCTGCGTCAAGGACGGCCAATCCCCGTCAGTGCCTGCTGGGCTCTTGGCGGCATTTGATTTCGAGCAGGCCTTCGCGGGCTTTGCGCAGGATTGGATGCCAATGTGATGTTGTGTTCTTCTCATCCCGCCAGGTATGGTCAACGGCCTCCTTAGCATTTACCGCCAGAGTTCGACCTGCTGGTTTGGTTTTGGCGGCAACGTCGAATATTTGACGGGCTCCGGTCAGGAAGACGGCGCGGACGCCCGCTCAGCGGAAGCTCGTGCCCGACCCTGCCTTTCCCTGTCTGCAACGACCTTCCACAATAACATCGAGAACATGGATGCCAGCATGGAATGCAACGACCATCCGACGTCAAGGTGCTGCGCCGACAGCTTGGCCGTTGCCCTTCGTACCGTCAAAAGCTTCCAGTAAACCTACCGCGCCTTTCGAGATGCACTGCGTTACAATCGAGACCCACGCCAAGAAACACTCTGTTTGCCTCCAGGGTGTCTTGGGTTTGTTGGGCTTCAATGGTTTTGCTATGGAAAGCGTGACGTGCCCACGCAACAAACCAATGGGCGTCCTGGGGTCTCAGGGTTGAGTTTCTTGTGGAGGGTTTCGTGTGGACTGGTCTCCACTGTATGCCAGTTCAGAACTCTAACCCACCAGGTGCAACATTATCCAGCTGATTTGTTTTGGGGGCGCAGGGGCTTCCTTGGATTGCGAATGCCCTTCCTCGGGGCATCTCTGGGGAGTGGTCCTTCATGGCTGCGGTCAAGCTTATGTGCTTGGGCTTTGTCATTGGCCCTGCTGCGTCGTTGGCCTTCAGCTGGGGCGCGACGCGGGGCGAGCCCAATGCGCCTGTGAGTCGGAGGGCACCTTCTATGGTTGACGGCAAATCGGACATCTTCCCATATCAAGTCAGGCGCGTTGCCCTGATCGGATGCATCGCCCAGCTGCTCCCGCTTCCCTGGCAGCGCTCGCAGGCGGAACGAGATGACTGGGCCAGCCATGTCTATTGTCTTGCGAGCGCATGGCGAATCGGCGAGACTTGCAGGCGGCCCAAGTAGGACAAAAAGACTTTCCCCGGTAAAATCGGATTTTCCCCGGGAAAATCGGACATTTCCCGGTGCAGCCCTTCCCCGGATCGATTCCCCGGTAGAATCTCTGAAAGGCGTCTGAGAGGCTCCCTGATAGGCGTGTGAGAAGCTTCAGAGAGGCTTCTGAAAGGCTTCTGAAAGGCTTCTGAAAAGGCTTCTGAAAAGCTTCTGAAAGGCTTCTGAGAAGCTTCTGAGAAGGTTCGGAGAGGCTTCTGAGAGGCTTCTGAGAGGCTTCTGAGAGAGGCTTTTGAGAGGCTTCCGAGAGGCGTCTGAGAGGTTTCTGAAAGGCTTCTGAGAGGCGTCTGAGAGGCTTCTGATAGGCTTCTGAGAGCCTTCTGAGAGGCGTCTGAGAGGCGTCTGAGAGGCTTCTTAGAGGCGTCTGAGAGGCGTCTGAGAGGCTTCTGAGAAGCTTCTGAGAGGCGTCTGAGAGGCTTCTGAGAGTTTTTTTTTTTTTTTTTTTTTTTTTTTTTTTTTTTTTTTTTTTTTTTT